CGTTCGCGCGGCCCTTGGAGGTGGCGATCGGGGCCAGCGACGGCGCCAGCGACTACGGCAACAAATTCGGGGAGCCCCTGCTGGCAGGTGAGGCTTTTGGGGTGAATTCTCATGATTTTGGGCAATTTTGGGAAAAATTGGGATTTTGGGGATTTTTTTWWAATTTTTTGGGGCTTTTTTTGGGTGTCTTTTGGTTGTTTTTTGAGCCAATTTTGGCTTTTTTGGAGGCAATTTACGGGAGGTTTGGGAACATTTTTGGGGACAATTTATAATTTTTTAGGATATTTTTAGCATTTTTAGGAACTTCTTGGGACTTTTTTGGAATTTTGGGGAGATTTTGAGTCATTTTGTGGTGATTTTATGTCATTTTCAGTTGGTTTTGGGGCATTTTGTGGCAGATTTGGGGCCATTTTAGGTCGATTTTGGCTGATTGTGGAACGCTCTAATTTTGGCCATTTTTGGGTGATTACAGCTGGGGGTTTTTGGCAATTTTGGGTCATTTTGGGCGGATTTTCGCATTTGCAGGCTTCGCCCGCTCGTTCGGGCAGGTCCTGCCCGGGGGGCAGCGCCGGGAGTGGATCAAACCCGTCATGTTCAGCGGCGGCATCGGAGCCCTGGAGGACGAGCACGTCCGGAAAGAGCCCCCGGAGCCCGGTGAGGACCCAAAACCCTGAAAAATCACCCCAACAACACTGACAATCACCCCAAAATATCCGCAAACCAAAAAAACAYSCCAAAATACCCCAGAGTGCACCTGGAACCTGGTGAGGAATCAAARAACCCCAAAATCACCCCAAAAACATCCTAAAATACCCCAAAAACTTCAAAATATGCCAAAAGCAACCCGAAATACCCAAAATGACCCAAAATCACTCCAAAATCACCCCAAAATGACCCAAAATACCCCAAGATTATCCCAAATTTTCCCCAAATTTTCCCCCCAAATTTTCCCCCCAAATTTTCCCCATTTTTCCCCAATTTTCTCAATTTTCCCAAAATTTTCCCAATTTTCTCAATTTTTCCCAATTTTCCCAGGGATGTTGGTGGTGAAGTTGGGGGGTCCCGTCTACAGGATCGGCGTGGGGGGAGGGGCCGCCTCCTCCGTCCAGGTTTGGGACAAATTCCCGCGATTTTGGGAAAATTTAGGAATTCTAGAAAAAAATGGCAATTTTGTCAAAAAAATGGGGGGGTTGGGGCATTTTAAATTTTTCTTTCAATTTTTTCGATGGATTTTTTGGGAAGGTTTTAAATTATTTTATTATTTTTTGAGAATTTGGGGGGACTTTTGAATTCTTGGGATTTTTTGGAGATTTTTTTGGCATTTTCAGGATTTCTTCCAGAATTTTGGGATTTCTTTCCAAATTTAGGGAAATTTTTAGGGGATTATTGTGATTTCTCTCAGTATTTTGGTATTTTTTGGGGGGTTTAGGGATTTCTTTGCGAGTTCTTTCGTGATTTTTGGGATTTCCTTTGGGATTTCATGGTTTATTTTTTTTTTTAATTTTGTTATTTTTTCCAGAATTTTTCCAGGGATATGGGTTTTTTTGGGGGGATTTTGGGTTTTTTTTGGCAGGAATTCCACAATTTTGACCAAATTTCGGATTTTTGTCCCCAGGTGCAGGGGGACAGCGAGGCCGAGCGCGATTTGGGGGCGGTGCAGCGCGGGGACCCCGAGATGGAGCAGAAACTGAACCGAGTCCTGCGCGGCTGCGTCGAGAGCGGGGCCAGGAACCCCATCAGCTCCATCCACGACCAGGGGGCCGGGGGAAACGGTCAGGAATTGGGGCCAAAGTCGGGAAAAACGGAAAAAACAAAAAAAAAAAGAGAAAATTGGAGAAAAAAATAGAGAAATGGGGAAAAAATGGGGGAAAATGGGTAAAAATTAAGGAAAGATTTGGAATTTTTGAAAAGAATGGAAAAATTGGGAAACATGGGGGAAAATGGGAAAAATTGGAACAAAAGGGTAAAATTAGGAAAAATGGGGAAAAAGTTGGGGGGAAATCAGGAAAATTGAGGACAATTGGGATTTTTGGGGCCATTGTGGGGGCTGAGGGCAGTGTCTCGTGGTGTCCCCAATTTGTCCCCATTTTTCCCCATTTTCCAGGCAATGTTCTGAAGGAGATCTCGGAGCCCGCCGGGGCCGTCATCTACGCCAGCCGCTTCCAGGTC